AAATCGTTAAAATAGTACGTTAAACTACTCCAAAATGGTTTAGCGATGGTGTGGCAGGTGAAGTTGAAGCAGAAACCGAAGAAAGCTTGGAATCTGATGTCTCTATGGAATCTGATGGGACCACTGCGACGATGACGACGAAGGCTGTTCCAGCAATGTTGAGATTGAAAAGGTTTACTGTGACACATTAGCAGTAACTAGGGATGAGGTATACCCGCGTGTTGGATTTCCTCGCTGTAGACTCATGGTCGCCCTTCCGTGGTACCGACACCATTGAGGAAGCACCTGAAGGTGGTAGCATGGTGCAATACTGCTCGAGGGCGCGGTAGAGTTTTGATCTTTGCACTGTTACAGACAGCAAAGTGACAGTTCACAACATTCCGGCCGGCGCTACTTGGACCACACAACTTCTGGATGTGGTCTCCTCCGGCTCTATGAAAAACGTTATGGAACGGATCGGGAACCCGGGCACGAACAGATCACGAGGAACGTAAATCAAGTGATGGCCAGGTGCTTGATCCGTACGCAAGTCGAAAAACCAGGTAAAAATCACGAATTAGAAATGAACCAGACTTCGCATTCTCGGGAACCGCACTATCATGCTGTGCCTGCGGAACAAGAACCTTTCCGATGAGCCACCACGACTCGTTTTGTCCAGCGCGTTCCTTCGCTTGTGCTTCATAGCTCACCACCAACCCTCCACCTCACTGTACCATTACAAATTTACCTGCTCATAAGTCACTTGTGAAATGCAGGTAGCAGTTTTGCTATCTATATTTGTAAATAGCATTACAGACTCTATCTACCCAGGTCTCCATTCAAAGTTCCATGGTAAGTTCTTCCCTGATAAGAGCAAGTGTCGTCCACGTGACTGCATTACGGCCGCAGCGTACTTCATAGCGGACTGAGCACGATCGTGGCTGCGCCGAACTGGATAAGGGGTAATGCCGTTTGGACGCGCTGACTTTTAGCTCATTTCTGAAGTGCCTGGATCACCAATTTCGCTGAAAACTGTATGGAGCTATTTAACGTCCTAATTACGAATACAACATTCACTCTGGCGCTGGCGCTGAACAGGAGTACACTACGATTACCTTCTGTGCTCAGCCTTAGCAGGGTGCAGATAATCGGGTGCCCCCATTAGTGCCAGCGCCAACAATGAATGTCATATTCGTCATCAGGATGTCAAATAACCTCTGTATACAACTTACTGCGGATCTGGTGATCCAGGCAGTTCATAATGAGCCTGCAGCCAACAGCCTGCGCGACCAAACGGCATCAGTCTTGGATAAGCCACTGTGTGTAAGACGATATTTTTCGGAAAACTACAGTACTTAGCTTCGTTGCAGGACCTGCTACCGTACGGCACACATTGCGGGGGCACTTCAAAGTGGCCCAAACTCGGGTGCGCTTTCTTTGGTACGAAGAGGAACGGACGGTAGACATTTGTCAAAGAGACGATAATGATAAGGATCAAAACACTTTGTTCTGCCTTTTTGTAGAGTTTAGTACTACTCAAGTCTGACAAGCTAGCATACCGATCTACTTGCTTCAAAAAAAGTTTAGGTTGGGATTAAGATTAAAATCGGTTTAAGATCAAATGGAGCAAAAGTACACTGATATGTCATCAGCAGATGCTGACTAGATGAGAGTTAGCAATAAATGCTTTCATGTGTGAGGAATATTTACGATTCCTGCTCCAATTTTTCCAGATATATTAGGTTATATTCGTATAACATTTCCTTTTAACTCTTCCCTGGAACTAATATAGATTTTCATACTAAACACTGAACCAGAAACTGCTCGACCTCAC